TAATTTCTTTATATTTGCATTATTATAGATGGCAGGACCTCATAGTACAGATGGCAGGAACCGTCAAAGTTGGAAGAGGCAGAAATGTAATTCCGTTGCCACAATCAGGACCGTGCGAGTAAGTTGAAAAAATACCTATGTGTGAACAAATAGACATTTTGGTCGGGGTTTAATTCTATAGATAACCTGTAACTAAGCAGGATCTTCCTTTTAAAAAGACACAAGTTGTGAGTGAGGATTCCACAGCCGCATGTGGTTAATTTGTTCTCCTTCTTTGGCTTGCAGGGAAGACCATGAGGAAGAAGATGACCAGCATAAATTGAAGGAAGAACAAACTACCCCAGATAGCAGCAAGCAAAGTCCAGGTAAAAACCAAGGGCATTTCAGTGCATTGCTGATTACGCTGGAGAGCTTGAAGGCTTTCTTGATTGAAATGAGCCTTTCTGGAAAATTACATTAGACAGGGTATAATACAAAATTCTGCAGATTGTTCCACTTCTTTCTTCCAGATATTCAGTAAGCAACAGTACATTAATATTTTTTTGTATTCTGTTTGACATAACATTTCCTGCCTCCAAAGATTTGGAAGTCCGTAAATATGTACTGTAGCTGTCTAATCGTAAGTTCTGCCGTTTGAGCTGTTCCTCCAAAAGGAGAGCTAAGAGTTGAATTAAGAGACAAACAGAATGTCACGTACTTGTTCATGTTTATGCTTTCTTTTAAACTCTTGCATTCATTTTGGCATTTGGTTTGTTTGTTAGATAAAGATTTGGGGCTAAAGACTCCGTCTCCATCAGTAATGATGTCTGAGAAGTCAGAGGAGGAGGAAGAACTTCTGGAAGCCAACAAGCAGTTTGGAGAAAAACTATCAGCAGACTTGCTGATCAAAGAATCACCGGAACATTACAGCCAATTAAGTCCAGAGCTCTCATTCCAAGCTTCAGAAAATCGATGTGCATTGGATGCCCTAAGAAACTGTAAGTAATTGAAGGTACATGAATCTTAAAGGCCTAGGTAGAAATTTTCTCTGATGGATTTAGATGGACAAATGAATACAATCTGCCTTTCAAACGTTAAGTAAAAGAAAATCAGCCTATGACTGTATTCAAATAATAACACCAATGTTGTGTTTATACTGTCTTCCACTTTGGCTTAGCTTTCCCTAAACTAAGTGAAAGGTGACTTGGACTGTAACGTCTAACTTCTCTGACTCCTGGCCATTTGACTGAAGGCTGATGGTAGTTAGTGCCAGATTGGAGAAATCTGACTTCCAGTTTCTAGGGCAAGGCAATGAGTCAGTGGCTCCTTCCCAAGGGCTTTGGACTCCTGCCTCTTGACTGATGCTTTCAAGAGAGAATACTTACCAAGATTTTACTTTGATGCTGTCACATTTCCTTTCAGTGAGTTTATTGAAGAAATTACTGATGCAGCAGCTTGGGATGACTGAACAAGAGTCTGTTGAAGATTGGCAGCATTTTTCTGACCATAGAAGAGGCCTGCCAGGGGCCCTTGAAGAGAACATTGTCAAGAGAGGACTTCAGTACTCAGATAATGATGACAATACCCTGTCTGGGCCTAGAAGGACACCCATGGGGACAAAAACAAATGTCTTTGAACTTAGTTGTGATAAATGGCCTTCAAATGAATTGGTATCCCCAGGGGACCCTGTGTTGAATAGCAGGCAGTTGACGGACCCCTTGAGAACAAACCCAGAGCCCCCAACCAAGGAACTGGAAAGAGGAACAAGTGCTGCTGAAGATGGTGGGGAGCACTTTTTTGATGCTCAGGAAGCTCACAGTGATGAGAACCCATCAGAAGGTGAAGTGGTAGATAAGAGGAAGGAGGTAGAAGAGGTGCAGCTACGGATCTCAGGTGAGACAAATCCATCAGTGTACAAATTTGAAATGAACTACTGAGTTATAAAGCTCCTGGATGTTATTGGGAAGGCTGGAGTGCTTCTGAGCCATGACAAGGCCTAGAGTATCTGCTAAATGCTGAATTGTCTCATTAAACGTGTTCGTAGTAATTAGAGTTTCTCTGTTTGAAATGCATTGGAAGAGAAATAAATAGAATTTGGAGGTGTGGGGTCAGATTCCAGCCTTTGGCTGTCTCATCAAGGTTGGACCTTTTCTCCCTGATCTTTTGGAGCAATAAAAGACCGGTTAAATCCAACTAGACTCCCCTTCTGCCCACTCAAAATCCCAATCAGATTGCCAGTTCCTCTACATGGCACACGCTTTTAACAAATTGCACATTTTTTCTATCTGATGTAAGTGGTTCCTCTCTTTTCTTCCAGAGCAAGGGCAAAATATGGGGGGAACTAGTTGGCGGTGGTACAACAGTAGCAAAAGTATGTTGAGAAAGGACCTTTGCATGAGGTGCACAGATACATATAGGTTGGGTTATATGCTCACCCAAGCCATTGATTTGCTGGAGCTGTTCATAAATGGGAGCATTAAAGTTGTTCTCTTTCCAGGAAATTATTTGATCCTTGATGGATATGGCACAGTACAGGAGAGCTCCACCGATGAAGAGGTAACTTCGCTAGTTCTACAGTGCACTGCAGACAAAAGCACAATGGACTCTGCCCGCCAGCAACCCGGGTCAGGGGATGCCCAGCCAGTTACAGCCAGCTCACCATTTGCAGAGGAATTACTGGCCTCCCACTGGCAAGCTGCAAAGGAATCCAGTTCAGATGCGTTAAGGGCTTCCTTCTCTGTCGAGTCGCGTACCCTGATGATGCGTTACATCCAGAACATAGAGGCCAGCCTTCAACATTTGAAGGTAGTGTGTCCCATGCAAATGTACTATCTTTTGGCCTATATATTTAAAAGAAAAAATGAGTGGGTTTTAAGGGATTGGAGATTAAGAGGCTTGTGGGGTGTAAGTCATTCAGAGAGGTACATGTGCGTTTATCTTCTTGACTGATTTTTCACAGTATCTTTTCAAACTAATGCTCAGTTCAGCACTATAAATTCTAAAATCAGGAGAATCAGAAGTTCTCTAGAATATATATAATTATGTCTGTCCCTTTGCTGACAGGGTTGCTCAAGATTAAAGATTTGTCCTAGTTTTTAGAGACAGAAATGAAAAATGAAAACCTTGGAATAACCATGAGAAAGACAAGCTTTCATATCTGGAGAATGTGAATGAATGTTAGGAATGACTTATAGAGTCAAGATCTGTATTGTACAGTTATAAACCTAGAAGACTGAAATGTAAAGGCTGAACTCAGTGTTGATTTATCGAAGCCAAGGTGTTGAAACTTCTTGAGCCAAAATTAAACAAAAACCTATTCAAGTCTTAGAGGCTCAAAAACAGAAGAGTCAACATTTTATTTAGAGGAATCTAGTCGAGCCAACAGTACTAAGATCAGTACAAAGATTTGATGAGAGCATAGTGTCCTAAATGGAAGTGGTTTTTGCTACCTTATAAACAGATTCTTGCTTAACTTTGGCTTTAAGAATTTGTGTTCTGCCGTCAAACATCAAACTTTTATTTTAAGGTAGCCATTTGGTGCTCTCTAGTGTCCAATCTTCAAAGTTGTTTTTATTAGTTTCACAGAATAAACAAAGGTTTTCCCCTGACAAGGGATCCTTTCAATTAGCTTCAGAGTCTTAAATCAAGTCCCTCCGAGCCTTTTAATCTGTTTAAAACTTTCTAATGGCAACAATAACCATCCTTTTGCTGCATATTCCCCCCCCCTTTTTTTGATACAAATCTTTAAACGTGTAGGTAAACTTTTTTAAAAGGATTAAAGGAAACTCACCCAGTGATTTCAATAAAACTTGCCAATCTGAAGGTTCTCAGTCTTTAAAAAAAACAAGTCATAGGGGAAAAACTTAAATGCAGAGTGATGAAAAGGTGAGCCTTGGTGGAACTTATGAAATCCTGTGATTCCTAGCTGATCACAAGTCAGTGACAAAAAAAATGCAGTTCCTGCTGTCTGCTCACAAAAAGGGACAGGGAGAGAGAGAGAGAGATTGAGAATGAGAATGAATGCTGTAGAAAGCACATGTGGATAATTTTGCAATCTCTCTTTACTCTGGAGAGATTTTGGCAGCCTGCATCCCCTATCCGAGCACCACTTTTGGCCACAGTGTGTTTCTTTAGAGTAGTTCGCCATCATAGCTCATCAGAAGCTCTTCAAGTGTATATGATGGATTGTGTTTTTCAGGAAGTGGAGGAAAACTATGCTGCTCTTCTTCAACATAGGCTGGCTGGCTCCATCACCACGGAGGAGCATTTGGGTATGCCTGTCCTGTTTTTCTGATATAGCTGAGCTGATAGGAAAGTAATGTGTTAATAATTTTGCGGGATTTAGCTCCAAGGGAAGTTACTGTGTGGACCTTGTTGAATTCTTCAGTTTTCATGACACTAAGGTTTTTTTTTTTTTTAAAAAAACTGGTTACAAAACATGATGGATCAATGCCTAGTTGTGCTGATTGCGCGTTTCTGGCCTGGTGTCCTCTCTGCTCAGCATTTTCCCTTTTGCTAATATCTACTTGTGTCCCTGTCTAAACAAAGATGCACACTCCAGGACTCCCAAAACTCTTTGTTGCCACATTTTTATATTGTGCATTATTAAATACATTGCGTCAGGGAATAAACATGGTGGTGACATTTATTTAAATGTCAATCAAACAAAATTAAATTTAATTTGTGGAGATTAAATTGGCATGCCATTCAAAGGCCAAGTGTAATCCCTCAGCCTGGAAAATGTTGCACATCCCTTAATGAAAGGAACAATTGCATCTAAATAGCCAGTTGGGGGGAAAATGGACCCCAAATCTTTCCAGGTTCAGAATTTTGACACAAGTTGGGAAATCAGTAAAAATAGTATCTGCATTCAATTCTCAGAACTGAAGAAGTTTCTTGGATGAGAAGCCAAATGTTTTCAAAGGGAAAAAAACAAACAAACAAGTTTCCTTTTGGAAAAGCACCTTTGGGACAACCATGACCTGGATAATTGAGAATCTCCATAGACATCCTTGCTGGTTTCTTTTCAGCACTTTTTTCTGTTTCTATTTTTGTCCTCAGATAAAAGTTAATCACCTTCTTGCCAATCGCTGGAGATTGGATGGCGCCTTCTGCCTTGAGTCAGCCTCTGCTAGCCTCAGCCGGCCTCTGCCTGGACTCTCTTGGCCTTAGGCCTCTTTCAATGGACCCTTCAAGGGGGAGGGGGCTCCACATAGTGGAGAAGTGGGCAGTTTTCCTTTGAGGTGTCTGCACTAGCCTTTCAGGGAGAGGGGGGTGATTTAGCTCACCTCCTCTTGCTACCAGAAATTCCAAACAGAGGAAAAAGAGGAACAGAAAGAAGAAACCAAATGTATAAAGTTCTGGGTGTAGGATATAAAAATGTATCTATACATTTAAAAAAAATCAATGTATTTATTTGACTTCATTCCGTGTACTGAAAGCACACTTTAATTTGTATTTTATTTTGCTTTTAAAAAAAAATGATAGTGCCAGTTTGCTAGGTTCCCAGCATCTTTCTTCTTCTCCTGAACCCTTATTCTGAACTGAGTTGTGTGTGTGTCTTGATTTTCCCCTGGATTCTGCCAACAACCAGCCTGTTCTTTCGAAGAGGTTCTTTGTGGAGCAAAATCTAGCAGCATGCAGACAGCCTTTCTTCTTGTGCAGTTTTGTGTGCACGTACATAGCCAGGGAAGGATTTGAAACTGGCAACCAAATTTCTCTTTGGGGCCTTTATTTTTCCTATATTGGATAAAAAGAGAAGGATCAGAATTTGGGAGTTGTTTTCCCTGCCCAGGTACTGATTTTATTGTGACTTCCCTTTGAAAGCAACAGCTTGGTATTTGTAGCTAGGGGTGGGAGTGGGGTATTTTGCCAGTTAAGGGAAAGCAATACATTTGTCAGAAATTCCTGAGGTCACCATGTTTCTAATAAACTGTGAGGAGTAACTGCTGCAGAAGTTAGCCACTATATTTTGAAGGTAGGGGCCAGAATTGTTCATTATCCAGAAGTGTGCCTTACTGACCGGTGTGGGATAGACCAAGCAAGACTTAGCTTGGAATAGTGCTATTTTCTTCTTTTTATGCAAAAATGCTCTGAAATCATACTAGTAACTTAGTAACATCTGCAGTAGAAGAATCAGAGGAACAGACACCACATCTGGTATAATCTCAGTGCAGTGTTAATAACCTGATGTTGAGGAACTGGACTTTTTCAAGCTTCATAGCACTGATGTAGAAAATAAGAAACTGGGTGGGTTGTCTACGTTGGGTAAATAGTTTTCCCATTCAGGATACATCTCACTTGAAAAAGGTTTCTCTCTGTACCGGCTGTCCAATCCTTGGGTCCTTTCTTTTTCCTGGCAAGCCAGATCTAAATGTGCCAAATTCTAGAAATCCCTTTAATGTTTTAAAATCATGCTGAATGCGCAGTAAAGTGTGGAATATTTTTTCAGCATGAATGTTATAGAATATGCTCCAATAATGCAGAGAAACATTTTTTCCTGTAGCCAGGAATCTAAATCCGTTTCCACTGCAGTGTTTCTCAGCCTTGACAATTTTAAAGCATGTGGACTTCAACTCCCAGGATTCCACAGCCAGAATTCCACAATTCTGGGAGGTGAAGTCCACATGCCTTAAAATTGTCAAGGTTGAGAAACACTGACTTACAGGGAAGAACTGCAAGAGAAGGAACTATTTTTTAATTTTCCCCCACCCTAAATATTTCCAATCAATTTACTGGTGCATATTGGAGGGAGGAAACTTCCCATTTGTCTGGGTCGCCGACCCTTCTTCAGAAGAGTTGGAAGCCAGCAAATACTCAAAGGGAAGTCTTTTCAGTTTCTTGTTACCAGGGCCAGCCTGCTGATTCTCAGTTCTAAATTTTACCCTCCTAAAATTCCAAGCAATTTTCCAAATGGAAATTTATGTTAAGAAGATCAGGCCCATATTACAGATGACCCTGTTTTTAAAAGTATTTCCTTATTTTCAAGGGTGTACGTATTTTAGTCACTTCTAGGTGAGATGGGCAGCAAAGAAGTCCAATAAATAATTTTTTCCCTGGGTCCTTGAACCGTGGCATTTTCACCTTCCCCATGCTTCAGTTCCACATCTATGGAGCCATAGAAAGTCAGATTCACATGTAGACCTTTCCATAATATAAGTAGGTGAAGGAGCCAGAAATTGGTAAAATTTTGGTGGCACTTGCATGCCGCTCTTTACAGATATTGTGGCAAGGCCTGTGTCCGGTCCTCTGTCATATCTCTGCCATATGGTGCTTCAGAATCCTGAAAAAGAGAGATGGGGTCAGGATGCCCAAAGGCCATGCCAAGCAGCTGAAGGGCCATCCAAAGGCTTGTTTGACCTCTATAGAGGATATATCAATTGCCTCCCCCCCCTTCCTGGAGAGTAAAGCAGAGTACTATGTTCTTGTCTTCCTGGTGGTTTCTTTGTGTCGTATGTATGTGTGTGTTTTTTTCTCCCCAGGCTTGTCTAGGCCACCAATTACACAATCTCCTGTTAAGGGCATTATTATTTTATGATAGGAAAGAAAGTAGTAAGAAACGGGGAATCACCATTGCTTCCAGCATCATAATTGAATATTTTGCAGGAGATGTCTCGAGTCCCCTCGCACGTCTACTGTACAACAGGCCCCAGGCACAGATCCATTTTTGTGAAAGGGGTCAACCCTAAAAATGCACTTTGTGGGATTCCCATTGGGATTGAACTTTTGGATCCTTAATGTTCTAGAGCAGCCATGAGGAATTCCAGCCAAAGAGACTTTCCCTGTCCTTCCCCACTGGCTGTGATCATGTCTTCCTTGGGCTCATCTTTTTCTCCCTCATCGTCTCTCCTTCCTTCCTTCCTTCCTTCCTTCCTTCCTTCCTTCCTTCCTTCCTTCCTTCCTTCCTTCCTTCCTTCCTTCCTTCCTTCCTTCTTTCCTTCCTTCCTTCCTTCCCCCCCACCCTTGGCTAGCTGAAAATGATATAAGCAATGAAATTCTTTTTTTAATATTATGTTGTGCTATCGTCATACTTAGGATGTCTTTGTTTTTAACCTGGATTTATTGGACCAGCATATTGGAATTTGGGCTCAAAAGACAAACTCCGAGTCTAGAGACAGCATCCTTCCCTTTTGATTTGCATGTCCTTTGATTGTATACCCAAGACTAGTGTTTCTGAACTTTTGCAAGTTTAAGACATGTGGATTGCAACGCCCAGAATTCCCCAGCCAGCATTGCTGCTGGAGAATTCTGGGAGTTGAAGTCCACACATCTTAAAGTTGCCAAGGTTCAGAAACATTGCGTAAGGTGAAGAAAGTTGGTTGAAGTTGGGAGAGTGGATTGTTTGGGCTTAGGGTTGTCCAGAACTATAAGAAGCTATAAATACAATTCATAAAAGCGATTCTGCTTTCCAATCCTTCTGTATTTTGCAGCGATGGTGCTTTAATCTGCCAGATGCCGCTCATTAGCTCTGAGTTCTCCTCTTGTTACTTCCCAGTTGACTAAACCAGCACTGGACAGGCACGTCTCAAGGCCTGGCAGACTGCAATGCATGCGTTCCATTTTTTTAATTTTTCTCCCATGGCCCTACCGATGGCTGAAAGAGGCTGAAAATAATGATCCCCAGTTTTTGTCTTGAGGTCTGCTTACCATGACCCAGGTCATTCTAACCCCTCAAAGCACTACCAATACATCGACTTCTTGCCTTGCTGCCTGTGTAGATGTGATCTTGTCACTGATTCACAATGAGACATTGAGCAGGAGACAAATTGAAGTCAAATTTTCTTCACTCAGTTTTGGGGGTTACCTTTTGCGTAACAGTCCTGCCTCACTGCCTGCCAATTTCTCCCCAATCTACTGTTGAGAGTAGAAAAGGCAAGAAATAGGATTGCTTGATGGAGGGGGGGGGAATTCATAACAGTTCCCCTATTGCTTTTGGATGTTGGATATTCTTGACTTTTGATAGCTTCTGAGAAAAAGGAGACAACTTTCAGAACTAAAGTGCAAGCAAAGTTGCATAGGTGAAAGACCCATACAGTATTATCTTTTACTCTGCCATATGTCAGGATAACATTTTGGGGTTTGGTAGAAACACTACTTTATTTGTGCTGTTTCATCATCTAGAATCTTAATGCCGGTTGTACATTTGATGAATGAATTGCATCTCCCTCTCTCTCCTCCCCCCATTCCAAAGAAGTCCCTTATTTCTCTTTATTCCCCCTTCGCCCCTCCCCCAGCACCAACTTATAGGCAGATGCTGTCCAAAAGGATTCCGCAGCTGGAATGTTACTCTGCTCTTCTTTTTTCTAAAAAAAAATGGAATTGTTTGTTGTAATGCTCTAACTGCTAGAACTGTATTTTATTTGCTTGCCATGCATTTACTCCTTTTAACAGATTCTGCTTTTAAGGAAAAACACAAAACTTCAATCTGAAAATATTCTTTGGAAAGGAAAATGCAAACACAAACAAAAGGACGACAACAATAAGACAGATGAAATATCCTTGTATTTTTAACTGATCATGTTTGAATGTCTAAGGAAAGAAAAAGAATTTATTGTTCTAATTATCCAGATGTATGTATGTTTGTAAAATAGCTCTTATTAGCTGATAAGGTTGTATGTTTTTGGAACAAAATATTGATCATTAAAAAAAGTATTGAGTTTTGTGGGTGTTTTTGGATTTTGGGAAATCTATAATTAAAGCTTTCAGATATCAGTAAATAAGGTTAAAAGAGCCAACATTTGACTGTGGTGTTCTTCACATGGTTTAGAATTTGACAGCAGTAGCTGTCAGAGGTGTTATTGACAGGCAAATAAATTGGTTGTAACTCCGTACAATTTACCTTTCTGAGTCAGCAATACAATTATGAAAGATGACCTTTTTTTCTCCCAAGATCAGAGCTTAATGTAATACATGGAATAGCTATAGCTAGATGTACCGCACATTTCCCAAGTCTCAAGGTCATGTCTCTGCATTTTGATCTTGAAAGTTCCTTGTTGGATTGTAAGCTGAGAAGGCTTACTTCTCAAGAACTGCTGACCCTCAACAGACAGCAGTTTGGATAAAGGAATGTTTCCAAACCAGGCTTGG